GGCTGCATTAATTCATCAAGTGGCAACAAAAGGAATGCATTTCCGTGTCTGAAATAGCCACTGCAAGCTGCATAGGGCTGAGAAAGGATATATCGGGCAGGACAGACCCAGGCTGGGGTCTGGAGCACTGAGAAGGACACACAAAGAAACTAAACTAGTGTTGTGACTGCAAAAGCAGAGATTGGGCAACAAACTAACAGCTGTCGTAGGAGCAGAGGATATTTTGTCCAGCCTCTAGTCCAAATCTTTCATCTTGTTGGCTGAACTCTGCTTTCACAGAGTGTTTCGGTGCACATGGACACCAAAGTCTCTGCAGTGGTCCAGTTTTGCTGACTTTTGCTGATGCCTTGCAGTTTTTTACTCTGAAACCTCTAGATCAGCAGTGAATGTCATCCCTATAACCTTCTCAAAGGAAGTTTACCTCCTTTCTAGAAGTATCTGAGGAAGAAATGGCAAGGCTTGTTGGCAGAAACATTTTATTTTGGGCTTATTCTCCCCAGATATTGTTATCTCCAGGGCCAGCTCCAGGACTGGTCCATTGGTAGCAAGACTTGAAGCTGTGACATCTCCATCCTGAAGGAGATCTCTAAAATGGATAGCATAGGATAGAATGGAATAGCATATTTCAGCTGGAAGGGACAGATCTGACGAGTCAGCCCTTTTCAGTTGGAGGACGGCATGTGATGCCCAGCCCTAATGCCAGCAAGGCAGATAGATGTGCCTTGGCCATGTCAGCTCAGGGTGGAAGTGTATCAAGCCCCTGTGAGCAGGGGATGGGAATATTAACATTTTGCACAGTTGCAGTACTTTATAACCATCCCCCTCCCTGCTTTTCCAGGCATGTATGTTAGGATATCTGATGATGCCATGACCATCTGTACTGAAACATTAGGAGATGTTTGGTCACCGCCTGCCCTAGTAGCCATGGCCGTAAGCAGCCCCTCTAACGCTCCAGGCTACAGTCACAGGTCATAGGGTGTCACTGTGGCCAGGAGGGGTGGGGGAAGGGGTTGAACCAAGCGGTCTGGAGCTCCAGCTGCCTTGGGGAGTCAGGGTTGTCAGCCTGAGGAGGGAAGATTTCCTCAGCCTCCTTCTCCCCTCTGCCCTGTTCTGGTTCCTCTCAGTCCTGCTCCTTCTACCCAGGCAGCTCTGGAAACATGTGTCCAGCCAGATCAGACTGGGAACTGTGGGGTAAGCGATGGGGTAGAAATGGGGATGTCAGGTAGACATCCTCTGTAAAGACACTGCCAGTCTTGATCAGAGGAGGATGGTGCATGCCATTGCCCCGAGGTATCGGAAGCCATCTCTGCTCCATTTACAGGACTCAAGCGCCTGAGTTCCCCGGGGTGGCTGTCCGCTTACCACCAGTGCTCCAGTTTTGGACTCAGTTTATAACCAGATGTTAGGCCGAATTTCTGTTGTAAAGGTAAAAACTACTGGCACCGAAGCGCCTTGGGCCGCGACCTCGCTGTGGGCTTTGTGCAGGCAGAGCGAGCGCCTCTCTCACAGCAGTGGGGGCAGAGTTCAGGGTCACCAGCCCAAGCTGCTCCCATGGAGGGTGTCCCCGCTTAGCCCTCTGCAACCTGCTTTCCTCCCCTCACTGCCCACCTCCACACCTGCCTTGTGTGCTCGCTATGCCAGCCTGGCTTGCCCTGCTCCATCTCCTGCTTCACCCAGCTGTCAACTGGCTGCCTCCAGCTTAGGTGGTGAGCTCTTTCAGCAGTGCTAGGACCTCTAGGGACAGAAAACAGGGAGAGTGGGCACAGCATCACTGTATGCCAGGGGAAAACCTCCCATTCCCTCCCCGGCACGAGTTAGAGCTGCTTCTTTCCATGGAAAGGGCCTGCTGACAAAGGACAGAGCTTCTCCTCAGCCCATGGAGAGCAAGAGGTTAGACCTGTCTGGGGAAAGGTACCAGCCCCACAAGCATGTGGGGGAGGAGGACTTGCTCAAAACTAGCCAAATTCTTGATTTCTCAGCTGCTTTGGAGACTAATAATCTGGCTGCTGTTGTTGCAAACCTTCTTGGCATGTTTCAGGCTGTCCTCTTCTTCTATAGCATGACAGGCTGCAAACCACCAGGAAGCCTGAAAAAACTTAAAGCCTAAACCAGGCACATTCATTGCCCAATACAAACACCTCTTACTCTGTACTGAGGCTGCAGCAGGGCCCAAACCTCCCCCCATGTTTCCCAGCCATGACAGGAGGAGGAGAAAGAGGACAGCACCTTACAGGATGGGTTACACTCTGAGCCACAGGTGACCCTCGGGGACACAACCACCTGCACGTGGGAGGAGGGACTGAACCCACCGTGTTTGTGGTTGCTCTAGTTGCAGGCATTAGCCTCTGAGTTGAAGGCGGGTTTCACAGAAGCAATGCAGGAACTGTCACGAATCCAGCATGGCGAGTATGCCCTGGAAGAGAAGGTCAAGAGCTGCCGCTGTGCCATGGAAGAGAAAGTGGCTGAGATGAAGAATTCCCTCAACACGTTCAAGGTAGGAGTGTGACCCGCGGACAGGCCGCACATGTGTCACATTAGCTTGTGTGGCACAGGGAAGCATTCCTCTGCCTCCATCAATATTTCCTGCTTGCAAAGAAAATGAGCAGGCAATTGTTTTGGATTTAGACCCAAAGCCAAAGCTTTGGGTCTCCCCTGACAGCTCCAACCTAAAAGTAGCCCATACTCTGGCCTGTTTAGCCTTCTTCATTGACTGTGAGGCAGTGCTGTGAGTTACCTGGGCATGAGCAACCCTTGCTCTGGGCTGCACATGCAATGGCCATATGGCCTGTCCACAGGCTGCCCCGCACCTCTCCCTGGGGCAGGTCTGCATTTCCTGCAGGAACCAATGCCATGGGGAGCAGTGAATCAACACAAAACCCTAAAGCCTTTTGAAGCTGCATTCCCACATGGCTGGGAGGAAGCGCTGCCTAGTTTGATCTGGCCCAAGAGGATAAAGACAAAGGACTGGAGAGAGAGCCTAGCAAGAAGGCTTGATGTACACTTTAAACCAGCCAGCATCTCCATGCAGAGACTGGATGATTGCGTGTGAGGAGGCAGGCAGAGGAACTCTTATTGTTTTTACTGCAAATTTTCCCCATGGGGTTTTGCTGAGTCAGTAATACATCGTGAAGTTAAAGAGGGCTGCTTACTGGAAAAGTCCATTACTGACCCTGTGACAGGGAGACAGATGGCACCAGGCAAAAGGAGCCCTTGGTGCCAGGTGAGAAAGGGAGACAAGAAGAAGCGTAAGGACTCATGGGAGAGGTCTCAGAGCAACCAGAGGCAGGGCTATCCAGGACAGAGGGGAAAAGGGGATTTAAGATCCAGATACAAGGAGTTATGCAAGAAACAGGAGGGGCAAAGGCTGCTCTCCCTCTGCCTCATGCTCATGTTGACTTTTCAAAAGCCACCTTCGTACTTGGGGAAAATACTTTGGTTTGCAAGAAACTCTTGAGTCTCTCTCCTCCATCCTACTGCTCACACTCATGAAACCTGCAGGAACTTCATACATCAGAGCTCTACATCTAAGTAAAGCTTGGTTGAAACTGCTTGAGGGAGGACGTGCTGACAGGGAGGTTACAAAGGGCCTCATTTCCTTAGGAAACCAGGTTAAAAATGCAGATCCAAGGCCTGACTGCCAAAAGCTTATATATATGAGTGCTCACACTGGGATCTGAACCAACTGCAACATGTGAATACCCATGCTGGCAAACTGCAGAGGGAAGTGTCCTACCTAAGGTCCACCTCCAAATGCCAGTAAAAGGCAGGAGTCCTCCCAGTGCTTTCAGCTGGTGGTGGATGAAGCCCTAAGTGTCCATCTCCCACCAGTGCCTTAATCATGTGACATCACGCTGGCTTGGGTGAGCTGCCTGTAGAATTAAGGATTGCCATGCTGTGCATGGCATGTGTGACACACACTGGACTTCCAAAGGAAGGGCGTCTAATCACACAGCCACTCTCCCAGCACCTTGAAGCATCCTTAGTGCACACCAGCCAGCAATCAAAGCTGTGCTACATAAGGCTGATGGGCACCCTGGGAATGCTGTGTTTTTGCCTGTTTCTCAGGAGGAGCTCAGCGATGCCAAGTCAATGATTGAAGAAATCAGTGCCAAGCAGGAGGAAATGCAACAGAAAATTGAGCAGCTGCAGCAAGAAAAGCGGCGGGAATCACGGAAAATGAAAGCTAAGTAAGAGCCCAAAGTCCAGGGTTCTGAACATGCTAATTACCATTTTGTTAATTTCCGTATAGCTTAATTTGTTAATATTTTCCTGGCTGAACATGTGTATCAACCATGATTATGAACAGAAATGCTAGCCTTCAGTTCACCCCAGGCTTTAGACACCTACCCCACGGAGCAAACACAACAGAAAAATGCTATCACCTCACTGGGATTCCAACAACAAAATATCCCTGTCAGGGAAAGCAGGGCCCTGTGAACACACAGACACGCTAAAGGCATCTTTGGGCAGGAATACTGCTGAAAGTCAGAAACCTCCACCATCAGAAGGTATTACTAAGTCACCCCCACCCAGACAATAGCACTGCAGTTTCCCCTTCCGAGCTTGCCGGATTCAGTGGGCTCCTGATGGTGCAGCCGTGATCTTCTTTTCTGTCACCAGCATTTTCTCCTCTGCGCAGAGTCACGCAGAAGCATGTTTGCACACCGCTGGGCCACACTGCTGCTGTGATAGAGCAGATAAGTTGTCCAGCTTGGCCCTAATTAGCCTCCTGAAAACAAAGTTTTGATCATGAGTCTATACAGCTGCCTTGATGCAAACACTTTGCAAATCTAGGCTAGCCCCTTAGCTAATTAAGCTATTTAATTAGATGAAATATGCTCTGCAGAAGAACAGATTTGAAATAACCTTCTCCTATAGCCAGTGGAAGTTATTTCCGGAACATTGTTCATGAACTGCCAATTCCATCAAAGCCAACTCCTTTCCTGGTCTCTGCTAGAGTTGTCCTACTTCTAACTCTGTGCTTGTACTTACACTAATGTTTGCCACAACTGTAGCATAGCACTTTGTAGCATTTATACTTCCTGACTGTCTTGTTCTTTCTTTGTACAGAAGAGCACAGAAGGATGATCATGGATCGCAGACAGTACCAACACCTCTCCAGGGCAGCCCATTTCGATCCATTAACCTCCCAGAACCTGTGCTGATTAATGAAGATTTTACAAGTCTTTTACACAATGTGACTTATGAAAAAGGTAAGAAATAGAATAGGCAAATGCAGTGCCTTTCTCAGGAAAAAAAAAATTCAGAAAAAGATCACTAAGAATTCCTCAGGTGCCAGCAGCACAAAAAGAGAGGTGCTCCCCTCAGCAGCACTGCTGTTGGATCTGTGCACACACCTCAGCGCAGTGTCTCAGGATAGCAGTCTTGGTGCTGGCCTGGATTCAGGAGATGTTGCTTTGTGAACACTCTCAAAAGCTCTTGCTTGCCTCCTCCAAGGAAAGGGATATACAGACTGGATCTTTGTTCCTATAGTGCAAGTGGCACAGAGACAGAATCAAATAGTTTCTATAGCAAAACCATGAAAGACTGAAGGATTTGGCCATACTGACAGGGCTTAGCAGGAGGAAGCCTGCTCTACAGCTGTCTTATTAACTTTACCTTTGTTCTTCAACAGTGTCTGACACCAGGATCATGCCAATGGGAGAAGGAGGTGTGAAAGTCATAGCAGGTCCAGGTACGAAAATATTAAACTGTCAAAAAAGAGCAGGACAATGACTCAGTTAGAGTGCTTGCTTTACTGCACTGAAGAAAGGCTTTCAGGGAACACATTTCACAGGGATGCCACGTACCTCCATTTTCATGCTTGCAGCTGAGATATGAGGACAAACCTGTGTCCCTGAAGTGTCCAATACCCCACAGTCAATGCCAAGGATTGATACTTGGCAGGGAAAGCCTTTCTGCTGTTGATTTCTCAGATTCTAAGTGCCTTTGCAGAAAGCAAGAATTGAGGCTTACTGATGAGAGAAAGAATAATGAGAGCACCATTTTGCCACTTGGCAAGAGACGGTCTTGCAGTGACTACACCCCAGTAGAACTGAATAGAGGAGTTCTCCTGAAAAAATAAAAATTGGTCAGAAGTAAGAGAAGGGTATAGTAAGTGGACACTATGAATCCTGGCCAGCCAAAGGACACATGAGAACAACCATTAGATGTTTGCACTGCGCAGTAGCAGCACTCACTGTTCTGGATGGCTCTTTTGCTTAAATCCACTTTAAAAAGAAGAGATAACAAAAGCTACAAAAAATGGTTCATTGCAACCCAAATTCAAACTATTTGCATTAGAGCAATTCCAACCCAACGTTTCAAATGTACCTGCACTCTTCTCTCCCTTCTCTGTGATCCAGTAACCTCAGACTATCAGTCCTACTGCTGTTGTGTAGCTACACCACACTAACAAAAATGTTAAGAGCTATGACAGTTTAAACACATTGAGAATGGCATTTAAATCCAATTATAATTATTATAACAATATGTTCTACAATACTTGCCAATAAGGGTTATATTATCAAGTCCTGAAGTATAGAGATATATGTCTAATTTTGGACCTTATTTGTCCTGAAAATAAACGCTGGAAGAGCACAAACCTTATTCTGCCAAAGTGCCACCAACTGCACTTCCTTTGTAAATTAACACTACAAGGCCACAGCCCCTGTGAAGCACAAAGAATGCTTCAAACTCTCCTTCTAGTACTTCTACTGGATGAAAACACAGGTTAGCTGCCGGCTGTAGCACAGTCTGTCTACTGACATGCCAAGGTCCATACCCCTGTTTGTCGTTGCAGGAGCAGCCATGGAGACAGATGACAGCCTCAAGCCTTCCTTGGCAACAGAGGGGCAGTCAAAAATGCATCTGCCATCAACAGTATGGAAGCAGCCCAAGGACACCAAGGACTGGGGAGATGAATATATTTCCAAAGAGCAACCAGAGAGAGGGAAAGACATGGGCCAAAGCAGATACAGCTCAGCAGACAACATAATATGTGAACCCTCTTTGGCTGGTAAGGAGTAGAAAACTGGCTAGAGGGCTCAAAGCTGTATCCGTGTCTGATGTGAGCTGGCTGGTAACCAGCATCTATGGAGGGAGATACATAGGCCAGTTTATCCTTCTAAGGGCCTCACACTCCAAGACCTCTGGCCTTTGAATTTGTTGGTCTGTGTGACCGAGAGAATCACTCTGTACCCGGGACAGCCATTCTCCTTTCCAAGATCTAGAGTACTGATGGTATTGTGGCAGTGTAGTTGTTTAAGTGGGTGAAAAATACAACTTCTCATTCTGCGGGAAATTGGAGGGGAAACCCTGATATGAGTTGTTTTGCCTTTGATTGCTTATTTTGTTATTCTTAGAAAAATTTGGTATTCATAGGGGAAAACACATTTGCTTTGGAGCTTTCTTAGCATGACTAATGGCTCTAGTCGTTTCTGGCGCATGCTGGAGCATCAGGCTGGAATTTTACATTTTGGGGAAAGAAGACACACAAAGACAAGGCATTGATATCACTTTTAAAGAGTTTCTCCTTTCACGATTCAACATCACCAGTCTAACATGAAGCTGTCCCTGAGGTCTGTATTTCCTTATTTATAAACTTAACCATTATCTTCTGGAAGCCAAAAGGCAGAACATCGCTTTGGAGCTGCTGGAATCAGAAAGGAAGTATGTCATCAACCTTTCCCTAATCCTGAAGATCAAGGCCACATTGCAAGGGCCAGATGTGAAAAGAAGCACCAAAGAGAGAAGGTATTTGATTTAGTGTGCTTTCTCTCTTTTGGGGAGTTTTGTTCAGTCATATATTCAGTCAAATATTCTTTCTGCATCATCCTCTCACACATTTTTCTTTCATCCACACATATCTTTGAACCCTTAGTTTATTTCTGGTTGAAAATTGGAGACATTGGAAGGTTTTTGCAGTGACTAAAGACTTTCCTACCTTGCATTTTGTCCACCATCTTCATTCTGATTCTGGATGAAAGCAACATGAAATGGCAGAAATGCAGTAGCACATTTTTACCAACTCTGCATCAATGGATTGTCTTGTTAAAGGGCCTGACAAATGAGACAACACACAAAGCTGGGGAGGTCTCAGTGGGATGGCTCAGGTCCCGCTTCATTAGCCACAGCAGCACTATCTTGGGCTTTTTAGTTCTGGTCAACTACTGAATGCACTGGAAAGTCAGTTTAGGAAGCCTTCAAAACACTGTATTAATAACCAGCTGGAAAGGGTACTTGCATGTACATAGCAGCCAAAACAGGACCTCCTGATGCAGCCAGGACTCCCAACAAAAGTAGTTAATAATACCTGTCCTATAGTAGCAATGATATGTGTAGTTAATAATACATGTGCAAGACTGTGCTGACCAAGCATGAATGGTTCTCTTCAGCAGTACAGGCTTGTTAGGGCTGAGTTTTTGCTCTGTGTAACCAGCCTGAAATTGTCTCCCTTCAGTTTTTTTCCCAACTCTCTGCGGTTCCTGGTCCAGCAGCATGTGGATTTACTTCACGCTCTGCAGGAGCGAGTCCTGAGCTGGCCACGACAAGGGATCCTAGGAGACATCTTCCTGAAGTTAACAAATGATGAGGTATGTTAAAGACCTCTCTGGACTCCTCTGTTAGGACGTTGTGTTGATGGCCCACAGATGGGCTAAGACACCTTGCAATAGAGGGGCTGTGCTGTGAGGCTGTGGCTCGGGTAAGGCCTTTCAGCAAGCCTCCTTTGAGCAGAGTCCTGGTGCATGGTACCCCCTTTGCTGTAGTATTTGATTGTTCAGGAAGCCCATGTGCCAGACACGCCTGTGGGCATGCAGCCTCATAGCACAGCTCTATAATCAGTGCACGAGACCTAGGCTCAGTTACAGGAGCCACACATGAGCCTTGACAGCTTGAATGTCTGTATTCCCACTGAGAGTGTGAAAAGGGAGTATTTCTGATACTCCCCTTCCCCAGCACACTTTGCTCGGAGTTACTACAAGCAGGTGGGCAGGCCTCTTACACTGTATGGTTTGTTGCACGTGCTCTCAGGGTGAAGGTCTGCCCTGGTGAGCAGTGGGGCCTCTCCAGTAAGGATGTGTAAAAACTTACCTGATGTTTTATAAATTTTAAGAGTCTTAAATAAGAAAAGCTTCCTGCTGCCCAGCCTCTCTACCCCTCCTCACCTGCTGTAAAGCTTTACATACTGTGCTCAACAGCTGAACTAATTTTTTAAAATGGCCTCTTGTGAGAAGTTCTGAGCCCTGAAAGAGTCACACAATTAGCAGCTCTGCTGCACTGATGACCTTCCAGGAGTGATGGTGGGGAATCAACAGTTTCTCGTTGTGGCTGCCTCTATGACAAAAATCTCTCTTTTAAGTTTTTTGTTCTTTCCTCTTTGTCTTCTGTAAGAATAATTTTCTGGACTACTACGTTGCTTACCTGAGGGACCTGCCAGAATGCATCTCTCTGATCCACGTGGTGATCCTGAAGGAGGTAAACTTCCTGCCTACTTCAAAGACACGTAATGGCAACATGCAAGCCTGGATCTCTTATGCTGTTCAATTCATTTGGGCCTCATAAGAACTTCATTCTGAACAACAGTGTGGGCATTCACTGAAACTTAGCTAATGCCCTTTAAACATACACCCCTGCTTAATTATGCTGAGAGTCCCTCATAGATAACCTTCAACCTAAACAATTTCATCCTAGTATTTCTGGTGGAAGGAGTTGCAACTGTCCCTTCCATAAGCAAGATGAAGATGTGTCTGTCACACACAACTGCCACTTGACTGGTGTGCTCCTGTGAACTCTTAAACTACTTACAGCACAACTACTCACTAAACCACAGAACCATGGGTGGGAAAGGCTCTTAAGTTGCTTAATCTCTTTCAGGTAGAAGAAGAAATCAAGTCTGATCTCTACATTCTGTTCTTCCATATAGTCCAGCGAATCCCTGAATACCTTATTCATCTACAGGTAGGGCCCCAGGATGGCAACTGTCTTGTTGAACTCTTATCACAACAGGTGACTTTTAATTCAGAGCTGGTATTTGAGCCTGTACAGGTACAGGGATTCTGGCAAACCCAGTGGGCTCTTTGGAAAAAAAAAAAAAAAAAAAAGAAAAAAAAAAGTTGAAAGGGAAAGGCAGCTAGAAATAGCTTAATTTTCATAATTTTCACCTGAAGCTTGCTTATTTTTGCCAGTTTCTCCATTTGACCTGACACAACAACCTTTTGTCCCCTGCGAAGGCAAAAAGTCTGCTGCCTGCTGCTCTGGGAGAATGGGAGGACAGAGATGGGACACATCTCCTGTGAGCTCCAACCTAACAGCTGTGGTCTTTGTGGAGTGCTCCACATGCCCGTTAGCTGAGAGACTGAGAGGGCTCCTAGAGCCCAACAATCTTTCCTACAGAGGGATGGATGGCTGATAAAAAGAGTTCTGGTTCACAGAATTGTATTGAAACATTTCAGGCAAGGCAAATGACACAGAAAGCAAGCCCCATAAAGCAAAGACACTGGTTTATTTATCCAAAGCTAAGCTCAACCAGTGCATCACCCACACATTCCATGTGGTTACTTGTGCATTTGCACTGGAGTAGTAGGAGGCAGGCCCCCTCCAAGTCCCTCAGAAACTGATGCTGCCTAGAAAAGCTCCCAAAGAGCAGTGCCATGTGCACTCCAGAGCACTAATCCATGGTTCCAGTAGCACCCTCTACCCAGAAAAGGTTAGGACACCCTCCAAACAGCCTGCTCTCCTCTGTGCCTCAGAATGTCCTGAAGTTCACGGAGCAAGAGCATCCTGACTATTACCTGCTGCTGGTGTGTGTGCAGCGCCTCCGGGTTTTCATCTCACACTATAGTCTCCTCTTCCAATGCAATGAAGACCTGCTGATACAGAAGAGGAAAAAGCTGAAGAAGTAAGCACAACATCATCTTATACTCCCTATCACAGGGAAGGGAGGTGCGGGGGAATCCAGGCAGCAGGGGGTTTAGGCCCAGGCAAGATCAACAGGCACACTGCTCTGTTGAAATAAAACAAATCCTTTGTATAGGAGTGCTGGAGAAGGACTGCTGTTGGCCTTTGGCCTCCAAACTGATTTGGGGTGGGCCCTTTTGTCTAACTCTGAGAGAGAAAAGAAAATCACTTTTAAATCCTTCTAAACGCAGCAGCCATGTGTTTCATGGGATCAGCTGATTCCTTAAGCTGATGTCAAAGTCACTCCCCAGTGGAAAAACACACAGGGATTTAGCTGCTTTGGCAGTTTGAGGCCCTGGTGAAGGTGAATGTTTTCCTCATGGGCTAAGACTCCAAAAGAATAGGGTTATCTTATTTTACCGGGGGAAGAGGTGGGAGAAACAAAAGCTTCCCATAACCTGTTTGAGATGAACTATGATGTATGATCTATGAATGTAGATTCTCAAGTTGCAATTTAGAACAATTCTTTGTAATCAAGACTTTTTACTCAAAGTCTTTGCTCCTTGTGATGATTTACCTGGGGAGTAGGACAAGATCAAACTTCAAGGGAAGCTTCCAAATATGGAGGGTGGTAAAGGGCTGGAGCAGACTGATGGGGAGGGACTGCTATCAGAAGAGGCATTAAGAACAGGACAGAAAGACTGGAACAGACTAGGTGGAACAAGTTTTCCTTGGGGTGGGAAGAGGTGAACAGGAATATTAAGGTCCCTCCCAGTCCTGTTTTCTGTGATTCTACATGCTCGTGCTCATTCCCTGCCTTATTTCTTAGCCCGACGATGGATTTCTCCTCCCTCAGGTCATCCCTGGTGAAGCTGTACAAAGGTCTCACCTCCCAGTGTACAAGCCAGGAGGTTTCTCCAACACCCAGTGCAGCGTCAATGCGGGACAGTGGGATTCACACTGAAGAGACAATACAGTCATTCCCACCAGCACCTTCCTCTGGCACAACAACCCCGTAAGCCTGTTGTTCTAGTAGGTGACTTTCAAAGTAGGCTGAAAACTCTCCTCACTCATACCGTGCAGTGACACCAGGCAGTTACAGGCTGCTGTTTTCAAAACAACTCCCTGCATACAGACAGAGGGATGAAAGGCTGGCTCCTTCCTGCTATCCCCTACCATGAGGCTTACAAGCAGGAAATATTTCAGAGCTCTACCCAAGGCTGTCAACACTTTTCCTAGCTGCCTTAAGAGCTAGCTGCCAAACAGGGAGGATATGAATTTGTGTAGGCCTGAGAGTGGTGTGCATATTAACACCATGCACTATTTATTGTCAGCATTACAAGAGCTAGGAAACATGATGAAGGTCTCAGAGTAAGGAAAAACAAACTTTTCCACACAGCACATAATTGAATGATGGGACTCACTATCACAAGATACAAGCATAATATGGGTTCAAAAAGACATCAGACTATTTCAAGACAGACACAGCTACTGGTAGGACCTGGCAATCTTCATAGAATCACAAAATATTCTGAGTTGGAAGGGACCCACACGGATCCTCGAGTCCAACTCCTGGCCCTGCACTAGACAGCCCCAAGAGTCACACCATGTGCCTGAGAGCATTGTTCAAATGCTTCTTGAACTCAGACAGGCTTGGTGCTGTGACCACCTCCCTGGGTACAGTGCCCAACCACACTCCGGGTGAAAAACCTTTTCCCAATATCCAACCCAAACCTCCCCTGACACAACTTCGGGCCATTCCTTCAGGTCCTGTCACTGGTCACCAGAGAAGAGATTGGTGCTTGCCCCTCTACTTCCCCTCATGAGGAAGCTGCAGACTGCAAAGGGGTCTCCCCTAAGTCTCCTCCAGGCTGACAGACCAAGTGACCTTAACTGCTCCTCGTACAGCTTCCTCTTTGGCCATTTCCAGCTTATTGATAGGTGCCAACTGAGATGAAGACTAGAGAAACACATTAGACGTGCCTTTTTTCTTATGCCAACAATTTGTGGCTGTTGTGCTTCCTTATGTCATTTGATAATAACAAGAAGAATTTGGTGTCATCATTCCAAGTCCTCCTGAAGCAGTAGTGTTATTAGATCAGTCCTTATTCTCCTTCTCACCAGACTGCCCAAGCCAATCTCCCTCCTCTCACAGACATCATGCTCCAGGCCCACATCTTGGTAGCCTCACCTGGCACTGCCCTCACATTCATCCAGAACAGAGGACTCAACTTGGGGTCAGGTGGGGCCTCAGCAGTACTGAACAGAAGTGGGGAAAGTAACTCCCCAGGCACATCTGGCCATGCAGGTATGGCCATATAACTCAGGCTGGGTTTGCCTTGCCTGACATGAGAGCATTGCTGTCAGTTCATCTTTACCCTGGCACTGGGTTCATACCAGGGCTGCTGCGCAACCCAAATCTCCCAGCCTGGTTTGATGCATGGGGTTATCTTGCCCCAGGTGCAGAGCTCTGCATGTTTTGAATATCACAAGGTTCCCCTCTCCGTTCATTATGACCCCAGGAGATGGCCATAAGACTTTCCTAACTATTGTTCTTTAAGGGCCATGGAGGTCACACCCTGCACCTAATATCTCATCCAATAGAGCACTCTGCTGATGTACCTGGAACACAAGGAGGGTAGCAGACCTCCAAGTACTCCTGACACACTTCTGGGTACAGAGTCACCCTACCCAGGAGAGAAATCCTGTCCACCTGAAAAGACAACCAGACCACAGGAAAGTAAGGCACAACCCCCACATTACAGAAAGAGCCGGAAAATAAAATCCAAAATGCAGATGAACAGGAGAGAGATGGAGCAGTTGGCTTCTCATCTCAGTTTCTATTCATTTCATGCTGTAGAGTACAAAAGTCAGCCAAAGTTACTGGATAAACAGTTCTGTCTCTGCAAGTTTGCTCCTCCTAACCAGCCAGGCAATTTCTGTAAGTGACAGCTCTATTCTCCAAGACAGGAAAATACCTTTGGGCCATAAATCAACACAACAGGGCTGGGGGAGTGTAGTGGGGGCGGAGAGGGCTTGTCGTGCTGTCTTTGTCATCCTTTAGTATTCCACTTCCGTTTGTTTTTTTTTGTTTTGTTTCTTATTTTTAAGGCATTTGATGCCCCAGATGAAGAAACCCCAGCCAACCGTGATTGAGAACATCCAGGCTGTAAAGCCCCCTGACTGGGAGATGGAAAGTAGAAAACATGAGAGACCAGAGAACATCCTTGCATCCTCTCAGCTGACAGAGCAGGAACTCAAGGCTTTGACAGCCCCCTTACAATCCATCCCTGAAATGGAGTATGAAGCACCACCGGCTGATGCGGTGGGAAACACTGAGAGAGCCATCAGGACCTCTGTGGAGCTGCTGCAGGACGCGAGGAACTTTGCACCAAGCTACGAAGAGTTTGACTACCCTGGGGAGGTTTTCACCATGCCAGGCCCCTATGAAGAAGACACCTTTCAAAACCTCGCTCTCTTTGAGAATTGCTCTCCAGCCTCTTCCGAGTCCAGCTTAGATATTTGCTTCCTTAGGCCTGTTAACTTCACCTCAGAACCAGAGAGGACAGACCATGCCTTACAGCCATTGCCTAAGAGCTGCACTCCCGTGAGCAGCAGTACTTACAAGCGTGAGATGTTCCACAGCAAAGGCAAGCAGCTGAGCAGGTCTCTGAAGGAGCTGCCGAGGAGCGCTGAGGGTGTGAGCACCAGACTCTACAGCACACGGAGCAGCAGCGGAAGCCGTCTGCAGCAGAAGCAGGAGAGGAATGTTCAGCCTCACATGATCTCAGCTTCATCTCGAAGCTCCCAAAGGAGCTACTTCCCCCCACAGAGAGGAGCGGGTGAAAAGCCGAGCTTTTTGGAAGTAAGGAGGCTAAAATAGGAGGAGGAAAAAAAATGGCACATGGTGGTGCAGCAGCAGCAGCAGCAGCAGCAGGAGAAAGATCTGAGATACAGTTAGACTAGAACACGCCAAAATAGCTTTCAAGTCCACACATTCAAAGTCCTCACCTGCATGTACATGCCCAAGGGAGGGACAAGACAGCTCCTTTTCAAACAAGTCTTCCCCGGGGACAAGCAGGGGTTAAAGGTGCACAGCTGGCTGAGTGACAGCTACAACATCTTTGAGACCAGGTAGCCTCCTGTGTGTCTCCACCTGTCAGTGAGCTTCGCCCCCCACAAGTGAATGTTCTGATCAGGTCACAAAGTACGCACAAAACTTTTCGATATCAATGCTATGGGTGGCACCCAGTAAAACAGGTGCCTTTCCACCTGCTGTGAGGAGTGCTGGGTAAGTGCTGGGTAAGTCATGCCGGTGTAAACCAGCATGGTTTACCAGCATGACTTGGCCAAACTCAACCCATTTAACACCAGCAAGGATCTGGTCCACAGGTTTTGTTTCACCTGCATTTGTTGCATGGATTGTAGACCCATGCCAAGGTCTGTGTGAGAACAGTCGGAACGCAGCAACTGTGTCCTTCAGATGGAACATGGCAAGCAGCACTCTAACCATTCAGGAACACCAGGTCTTGCAGGAACAGCGTTTCTGCAGTCTGCAGTGACAGTCCAAAGTCAGCTTTGAGCTGTTACTCTCAAGGAAGTGTAACAGCTTTCGCCTTTCACTTCCTGGGGAGAGGCCAAGGGTGCACAGCTAGTTCTGTCACTGTCGTGTGGAGAAACACCCTCTTGTTAAAACCAGGCAAGATACAGATGAGGCTGTAGATGCGGATAATGATGGGAGGTAGGTTTCAACAGCCTGACTGAAAAGGCAGCAAGGAAACATCGAAAGAAAAGGAAAAAACCCAAACTTATTGAGTAAAGGAGGTGGTGGATGACTGAACAGAGGACACAAGGCAGACGGGATAAGCCAAGGGGACACAGGCCCCACAGAAACACGAGCTTGTGAACTCTTTGGCACTCACCTGCACAGAGCTATGGCCCACAGCAGGGTGCAGGTGTGGAGCTTGTCCAGAACTGCAGGACATGTTCTCCCTCACAGAGTAGAGGAGGTCACCATGGCAGTGGTGGGCAGAATTGGAGAAAAGGGTCTTGTCTAGAGTCTTGCTGAGAGGAGCTTGGCACTCTCCTGAAAGAGGGAGAGATCTTTTAGAAGCACATTCACCAGAAGCTTTGTGTGCTAATGAAGCCCTCTGCCCCACAGATATAAAACCATGCGGCAGCACAGCCAACAGAAGTCTTTTACACCATATCACAGCTTAAGAAGCCTGAAGCCTCCCAGCCCTAGGGGAGAAAGGAGAGGGTGGGAAGTTCTTCCAGCTGCCCAGGCCGGCTTCCTCCTTCACTGGCAAAAGGAGCTAGTAAGCTCTCCTTAAACAAAAAGCTTAGCAAGAAAGGCTCCAGTTCCCTCGAACAGAGCTTAATCTTCTACTCCGCTGTCACTGCCTCAGTCTCAGAGCCAGCAACAAGCTCTCTGCAGAGGTACTAGCGTTCCTGAGGCCCAAGTGACCTCTTGTTTCCCAGCCTTGCCAGCACCTCCTCACTCACCAGGTCCCTCCTAGCACAGAGAGAGAGAAAGAGAGAAGGGAACAAGAATGTGAGGTTGCAAATGCTGGTTAAATTGTCTTTTCCCTTTTAGGAGCTCCATGCAGAAGACAACACCAGGTTCTGCCAGAAGGATGACAATGAGCAAACATCCTTCAGCGACCACAACCCACGGCACGAGCCCAAAGGGGGTTTCCGGAGCTCCTTCCGCAAGCTCTTCAAAAAGAAATAAGCAGCCCTGAGAAAGGCAGGCCACAGCCTAAGCACAGCAGTGCTTCCCCAGGTCCCCGAGGGTGGAGACAGACAGCAAGGCCCCAAGAGTCCCCTGACTAACACAGAGGGTGGAGGGGTGGGGGAGAGGAGACTGTCACTACTGCCTTACAAACGCATCCTGCTCTTCCTAGCACAGGGCAGGGCCAGGCTTTGGGTTGCAGTGGAGCTCAACCAGCATGTCCAAACAGCACAGGAACTTGCTAGCTTTCATCCCTGCCTGACTTAACTTCCCTCAGTTTTGGAAAGCTTTGGCTGAATCCCACTATCTTCTCCTCCCCCTCAGCCCCCAAAACTGCTTGATTTGCCATACATCTTTGCTCTTCCAAGCTCACGTCAGGTCTTATTTGGGCTCACCCACAACAGAAGGGTTACCTTTGTAGCCCTGGGATCCTGGCCAGGAGTCTAAAATTCCCTTCTTTCCTCTACTTTCCCAAAAAATGCACCATCAAAGATGTCTTCCAGGAGGCCAGCTCACATTACCTGGGTGGTTTGAGAAGGTCTAAGAAGCATCAGCTAAAGCACTTGAGTATTGTACAGCTTAATCAGCAACATCCTTTCTTTTGGACTTGAATCATTCCCCAAAATCCTCCTTCACCTTTTATGTGGCACCGTGTTTACTGAATTGCCTCCTGCTGTATGAATCTCTGCTCCTGCTGTCAGAATTGCCCGTGTCTCCAGGCAGGTGATGCAAGCTGAGCCCAGGGACTGCCACAAGAGACAAAGACACCTCCACCTTATCCCCAGTGTGGATCAATGCAGACACTGACAGAGTCAACCAGTGTCCTGGCTCCTGGTCTGTAACACACCTGAAATACACTTTGCTAATAATTATTTGGCCTGATACCACCTTACAAGCCCCATCACGTGCAGCTTTGGAATGGTTCTTCCAGGTAAAAATTGAGGCACTAGGGGCAGAAAAGCCAATGGTGCACCATGTTCAAAGTCACAGGCTCTTCTTGTGCAAGGACAGAACAATAAGCATGCCACACACATGCCACCTTCCTCGCATTTGGACATGGAAAACCCTCCATAACTTTGATCTCTGCGGAAGACTGTAGCTTTTGTATGGAAACACAGCCCTCTGATGCAACACCCATGTCACACCACAGCAGCAAAGGCAGCACTGGTGCAGTGGTGTTACCAGTGGAGTACCACTGGTGAACTGTGGTGTTACCTGAAGCTGGGGCATTCTGAGGGCACTTTCAAGAGGAAATGTGGTTTTATTTCGTTTTGACAACCTTGGGACACTGGGTTTGTCTTAAAGGACAGCTTCACCTTAAGAGGTTGTGAACTGTCTCTGTGAGGCCAACAGCAAAGTCTTGGGGGAAATATGCAAGGCTGTGAGATTAGGGGCTTGAGAGTCCTGGCATCAGCACAAGGGTGACTGAATTTGGTGCCAAGAGAAGAGCACCTATCATGCTGCATGGCTCCCCTGGCAGTGGCAACAGCACAGGAAAGCCTCAGAGCAGGCTTGGATGCAGTGGCTAATACCCAACGCAGATGCAGGGTCTACACGCAGGTTCCACAGTGTCAACTGACCTGCATTTACCATCTGCTTTTCCTCTTCTGGTGGAAGCAAAGAGGTGTGTGTGAAAAGGGCTATTCACCTAAGACAGACATAATCCATCTTTTATTGCAATCAGAGTTTTCCCAACATTTCAAGAATGTGACCAAGAAAAACCCTGCAGATTAAAATGTTTTAGCTGGTGCCTGTCTCATAAATTTTACTGAAACCAAAATTCAGTTCTCCTCAATATGAAGAGGAAAGAAATACCATACTTTCCTCCTCTAGCTTTAGGAAACTACTCTGGGAAGACCTTTTTTTAATTTAAGGCTTTTAAGGGCAAAACCCCCCACCCTTCCACTCTTTCCCTCTCCCTCACATCCTCACTAAAGTACAATTCCCCAGCCCTTCCCAGTCAGGACTGCTCCATGCTGACCAGCCACTGAATCACAAGGACAGTTCCTAGGACCTGGCAGTTTTCAGTCAGACTGTGCAGGTCCAGGATACGTAAAAAGAGCCAGATACTTCTAACTGAGCATCAGCAAAGGCTGTTTGCTCTGCAAAAGAATCAGCCATAGACAGAACTATTTGTTTGTCCATGGAACCAGAGTTGTACAATTATGGACAAGTGTCCACTGTACTGCCCTGATGCTGTCAAGGGCTCTGGTCCTTGGTTTCTTTGGTCTCATATATGTAATGACACTTCTAGAACAAACCTGGTTTTCACACTTGCCAGGCAGATGCCAGGACAGAAAGAGGACAAAGGAAAAAACCTACCTGCTACCATCTCCTGGGTGAGGAAATCCTTCCAAAGTGGCAGACCCTTGCTTGTAAAATGCATGTGGATTTTAGCTTCTGTTTTAGTGATTTAAGGCACAGTCAAAATTGATGTTTTTTTCTTTCTGATTCTGTATGAGTGCTTACTTCCAGGCCTATATTTATCATTTGTGATGTCCTTGTACCTGCTCAGAATCTGCAAATGTAAATAATATGAATGAATGATGCTCACAGCCACACACAAACACACAACCTCTTGCAGGATCTATTCCAAATTCACCTTTAGTGGTACATGTGTGCTCTGGATTATTTTTCTTCCTGTGCCAAATAAATGTTGCTTTTAATTAACACTGTTGTTTCTTGCCCTGAATCAGCCAGAAGGCTGCATCCATTAAAAGAAACACTTGTTTCTCAAGTCCCTCTCTGAGGCAACATTACTTACAAAATCCTGTACTCCTACACACATAGTCATGCAAGAAGACTGTTTCCTACACATGGTTCTAAGACTCTTCTCCAGAACTCAGCTGAGTCACTCTCTAGGCTTCTGGTCAAGATCCTGTTGTTGGTGTAGCTGACTGTGACATTTCTTCATCCCCTTACTCCATCTCCTTTACTCCCTCCTGCTGCTTCTGTTGCAGACACATGAACTTTCAG